GAACCTTCAACTGTCTCCTACAGGGATTTTGCCTAGCCAAAAGACTGCTGTATATACCCTTTAACCATTCATAAACCTCAGCCCAATCCCAACCCAGTCAGCGTTTGGCTGCCAGCCCCTTTCCATGCTCCCTAGAGGGAAGTTACAGAGCACAAAGGACCTGGGCAGTGCCCTGAGAGCCCTGTGCCAGCAGGGAGCTTCCTGTGCTCCCGCTCCTCCCTTCCCTGAGGCACCAGCACAACAGGGAGCAGGGAGGAGGTAAGAAAAGCCTTATGGCTTGGAGAAGACTTACCATGCATTACAGGGAACAAACAATACAGCCTTTCTGGTAACATGTTAGCGCAAGCAGCACTTGAATGGGTTAAAAAAAAATAACTCATGCATGGCAAAATAACGTCAAGCATGGCAAGATGCTGCTTGAAATCCAGGTGCCCTCAAAAAGCACCTTTCTGAAGTCACTGATACTAGGCTGGGGTCAAAGACAATCTTTATGTGGAAAGAGTTCAGTTTCTTCACTGTGTCACAGGCTTGGCTTGCAGTAATGACAAAGTCAGGACTAAATACTTTCCTCCAGGAAGACAACTCTAGAACAAGAACCTCAGCATGGGAAGAAGAAGGAAAAGGCAGAGGTGAGAATAAGTATCATCTGTTGCTTGGCAAAGCCAGTATCTCTTGGTCAAGAGTCATCAGCTCATGGCTACTTTTGTTTTTCTCCAGTACTGGTGCTTTGCTCCAGTGCTACTTCCATCTCAGGTACCCAGAGCCTAAGCAGAAAGAGCGTTTGGACAGATCTGTTATTTCCTGCAGCCACACAGTAAATGCAGCATTTCCATTTCTATGACAGAGAGAGGTGGAGCTCTCCATGCCTTTTAAATGTCAGTCCAAGCCATAATTCTTCCCTTTCAAGATTTGTTAAAAGCAGGGGAAAAGGTCAAGGTTTGGTCCATAACAACATACCTAACTAACTCCCCAATCAGCACCTTTTAGGCCATTTTAGCTACATAATATCAACTCTAAGCTTCAGGATCAGCTATACAAAATACAAAGACTGACAGCTTCCAGGTTAAACATCTATAGAACTGAGTTTAAAAAGCTCTCACAGAAGAGCCTGTATCCCACTATCAATCTCTTGACTGCCACAAATTGCCAACTTTATCACAAGCCAACTTTTCCCTTTGAACTTTCTCCAAAATACAAGTCCTATGGCATTCTCTGCTCCCCTCAGCCGACTCTTCTTTAACTGTAAAGCTCATTTCTCAGGACTTCATGGTATTCTCCTGGAAGAGAGCCTCACTTACTACAGACACAGAAGTTTCCTGCTCAAATAGTGTGCTCTGACCTTGGCTTATGTCAGCAAATCCTGTGCATTCTGATCATGTTCTTATATCATCGCTTTGGCAATGGCCCAACTTTCTCTGTACATCTTCTTTCTACCATATCAAAGCCACCTTCTAATTCCCAGACTTTAGAAGTCTATCAATAGAGCAATTCTACCTCCAAATCAGTTGACTGAATCAGCCTAATACCGCTAGCTATCAGTAGTATCATTAGATTTTGAAACAGAATCCCTTCTAATATTCTTCGATATAGTTTCATCACTCGTATATCATTCATATGCCTCAGTAAAATCATTCTTTATCCAGTTTCACGTAAGTCTGAAATTCTCTTTTCCCCAGTATCCACAGACTAGGCAGCCTACTGAAATCCCCACCTAACAGCTGAAATTGTCTCTTTTTGTGCTTCCCAGCAATTGCTACTGAACTTGTATTGAAGCTTCTTGTGGTGGGAACTCTTTTGTGAGGAGGGTACAGGTGGATGGATGTTCTGTGCTGCTCTGTCTGCACAGCACTGGCTTCATGAGGAATTTTGCTGGCAGACTCAATGACAGATCTACAGATTACACTTACAAAAATAGATGTTATCTCAAACAAAGGTTTTTAAATGCTCTTGTACTCCTTGCTCAATGATACAGCTTATACTTTTCTAAGCCCTGAACACACCTGCAGATATCTGCTTTTCCAGAGCTTTCAAGAAAAGACTGCTGAAAACTGTCAAGTTACAGAAATCTGGAATTCTGTTAGAAAACAGTAGACAGAGCACCCAGAATGGAAAGGTGACCATGTTTCCTCTAAAAAGCTAGGGAAGAAACAAAATTAGTGTAATACTCCAGTATATTTTTTTTCATAGGCTAGAATATAAACACCCAAGTCCTTTCCCAGGAGACAGGACAAGATAATTTGTTGCCCTCCACAAGCTGCTCCATGTGGCAGCGCTTGCTGCCCACGCAGGTGCCTAAGGCAGATCCACTGGAGAGCTCCAGGGGCAGCGCGGATGCTGCGCCTCCCTAGCTGCCTTCCTCCCATGAGTCTGCCTCGCCAATGGCAAGCGGCCAAGAGACAGCTTGTCTGAGCACGCCTGACATTGTACAAAGTCACCAGGAACCACAGTAAGCTGCTGGCACCCGGGTGCAGGCCTCATGTTTTACTAGAGGACACTCTATGAGTCTTGTCCCGAGAAAAACCTCAGAGGCTTTCCAGAAGGTAGCCCTGAAACACCCAAGTATTGGATGGAAAGTCTTAGTCCCCGTGCGGCCTCAAGGCTTAGCAGATAAATCTGTGATCCATCTGTGCACCTCGGTGCACTCTGCTGCCTACTGTGTCAAACATTTCATAACCGCCTGTTTCAGTGGGAATATGCTGCTTGCTTAAAATTTTAAGCAGATCAATTAAGACTACATTAAAGCGTATTTGGCAAGTGGTTGAATTACATTCAATAACAATTGCTCTATTCTGAAAGTGATGGAATAAAAATAGCATCTTCTTACTCATCTGTGCTGTTCTGTGTGCATCACACTCATGTGCTTTTAGCTTTTGCTCTTTAGAGACAAAAAGCAGACACAGGAGCCATCCATCCAAAAATCTAACAATCCCTAGAAAACCTTCAAACATTAAACACTTGCAAACAAGCTCTGTTTTGTATACTCATACCACAGATTTTGTTGTACAATGCTAGGAGATAAGTCCACACAACTCACAGGTTACTCCCATCATTAAAATGCCGCCCAGTTGGGAAAGAGATGTCAGCAAGCAGATCTCAAACTTCAACAAACTCAGGTTACACATAACAGGGGCCCTATATAAAGGATCCAAAGGTCTTTTTGGTCATCTTGAAACTGCAGGAAGTTCATGAAGATCACACCAGACCCCTGGGTGGCAGGTCTCAATGTATCTGTCCCTTCTATCTTTGCCTGGTTTTTGTCAAAGGCCAAATCTCCAACTATGCAAAACTCCACAGGCAGCTTGTTCAGTTAGGCCTCTACAAGCTTCCACGTGCTGCATTTCAGAACCAAGTGGTCAAGCAGTATCCCCTGGGTTATTTGCTTGACAATATTTACAGACTGATCAAATTCCAAGAAACATTCACATAATGATTTAAGTTTCAGACTAAGATGTTTGATTATGGCAAATGAGCAAGAGATATCCATATTGCAAAGCCCTTCCCAAGCTTCCAGAAGTTTGTAATTCATTGGTAATTTTGAATATCTCTAGAACACATAAAATTACTTCAGGATTACACCTGACCTAAGCAGTCATTACCACTTTACAATACTAAAAAAAAAAAAAAAAAAGTATTAGAAACAAAAGCTACAGATCATCTTAACAAGTACCATCTGGTTTAGGATTATTTTGACCACTTTGGCACAGAAATCAATTCACAGGAATGAACAAATACAACACTCGAGTAACCTGTCAGCATCATCAGCCAGTTTCTAGTTTTGATAGAATTAATTCTCCATAACGTCTGATCTACAGCTGATGTAAATCATCATAGCTCC